GGGGGGGGGGGGGGGGGGGGTGTCTCCGAGGGTACCAAAGAGAGCGGGAACGGGGAGAGGGCGTAAGAGTCTGGATGAAGCACCAGAAGAGACACTGTCCTAGGGGACAGAGAAGCCCCACACTCCCACCTGGGTATCCCCGAGGAACACCTTCCAGGGACCAGGCAGATGGCACCCAGGAGAGGGATGAGTGAATCAGGAGAGCAGGGAAGAGGCACACCACGCCTGGAGAGAGGTCCGGGGATCCAGGATGTGCAGACACCGCCTGGATGGGGGACAGTGAGGGGAGGAGAGCGAGGAATCAGAACACAAAGCCCGAAGCTGCCAGGCTGGCAGAACTGAGTGGGGAGGCGGCAGGAGCAGCAAGACCTACGCGGAGCCAGAACATCGGGGCGTGGTGCTCAGAGCAGAGGGGAAGCTGGGGACTATGTAGCGGGCCGTAGGAGAGCTGAGCGCGGAAGCCGAGCTGGGTGCGCAAGGAGGACAGGCATGCAACTGGGGAAGTCCGGGGGCGCCGAAACGCCAAGCCGGGTTCCAATCCAGGGGCAGGGCTTCGGGGTGAGGCTCCGGACAGGCGATGGAGCAATATACCCGGGGGTTCCCGCCCGGCCGCGACTCCAGTTTAAGGCGGCAGAGCAGAAGCACTGCCTGGCGGTGCCCCCGGCCCCCCCAGCTCCCTTGTTTGTCTCAAGTCCGGCCGGAACCGGCTTCGGCTCGCCGCCGGGCGGGCGGGTGGCTGCTGATTGGTCTACGCCTGTTTCCAGCCCCCACTCAGCCAATCAGTGCGCAGCAGTGTTTTCATCTTCGCGTCGGAATAAAAGGGCTGGAATAAAAAGGGGCAGAAAAGGCGCCGGCCGGGCCCGACACACATCAGTAGGAGCCAGGTGAGCCGGGTTCTGGGGGTCCGGGCTGTGGGCAAGGGTGCGGTGGGCAGAAGGCGCACGAGTAGGGACGTAGGGAGATGTGTGAATATGAGACTGGATGGATGAGGAGCCGCCAGAGAAGAGATGAGGAAGAGAGGAGGGAGGTAGAGGATGGAGGGAAGGGGGTCCACTTCCATGGAAACGGGCTAATTGCCGAGGAAACGGCCTGGGATGGGGGTCGCGCAAGCTGCTCGCGCCGCCGGTTTGAACCGGCTTCGCCTCTCCCATGCGGGGTTCGCGTGGCCGCAGCGCCTAGCGACCTAGACGGCGACCAATGGCGCCGCAGTTCCTGTGCCGCTGGGCCAATGAGCGAGCCGTGGGCGGGTCGTTCCGGAGCTCGGTGCGCTGATCTTGTGGTTGAAGGAACAGCTCCGGGAAAGTCTCGAGAGCGGGTGGGAGGGTGCCTGTCAGGGTCCCCGAGAGTGGCAGCCCTCAGGTATGCCCATGCCTGGGTATCCGGACCTCAAGCCGCCTCCCCTGTCAGCCTCCAACCTATGTCAGTCCTGCTGGGAGCCAGGACTAATTCCACGTCCCTGAGTATGCGTTAGCTCCTTCTGCTTCTGTGCCTCAGTTTACCTCTGAGTGAGCTGAGGGAGAAGTCTCCCTGCCTG